GGACCATATTGCTGCGGTGCGAACCGCCAGACCAGTGATGAAACGCGGCGGATCGTAGCTGGACAGACCGCCGGGCCCTAAGGCCAAAACCACATCGCCGTCGCGCCAGTCAACCGCGTCATTGGGACCTGAGCAGGCTGCCGCGGCCGGCCGACGAACTGTCGAGACAGCGCCCGGCCCGAGCTGTTGGAGCAGAGACCGCAGCCAGTTGGTATCAGTGCGCCTCGGTATGATCAATGGTAGCTGCCAATCAGGAGATACGACCATAATGCACACAAGTCGAGGGTCATCCGGCGCCGGAACGAAACAGAGATGTGGTGACCAGAGAGCCGGCCACAGTGGCATGATCTGTGTGTGCCATGCAGGACCCCGGCTGGACAAAGCGATGGCCACTTCATCCACCGTAGAGTCGGGGTTGATGGGCAGAGGTTCTGTATCAGCCATAAATGGGGAGAACAGGCGGGCAGTGCCCTCTGGAGCCACGGCCTCGTGGCAAGCACGCTCATGAGCTTGTAAGCGCCACGGAAACATACCAACGTTACCCGTGTCAGCAGCCTGCGACTCTACTGGGGGCACCAGCATAGCATCAACGTTAGCTGCGACACCGAGAATGACTATTGCAACGAGGTGAGTCTGACTCCGGGCTAAACCAAGGGCAGTAAGGAGGTCCGCAAGCCGAGACCGGGCAGAAGCGCGGTTCGCAGGTACGAGAACGTCTCCATCCCGGAGGAGGCTATCAGGCGCTTTCAGGCGCAAATCAGGGCGCAGTTGCCATCAGCCGGGAACGTGGTGGCCCTGCCCTCCTACCGAGATCAACCTGCATTCCGTTTCCTGTGTCCCTGTCGGGTCATGCAGGATAACCTGTGCTTCGCACTGTTCTGTCCTGCGAACAAAATGGCACTCATACGGCTGAAGGCAAGGGACAGGCACTATCTTTGGGGTCGAGGGCTCTCCCCGCACGTGCGCGAAATGACACCCCGCAGGGGTCCACACGCTGCCCGTCTCTACCCAATACCTTTGGCATTGCTCAAGAGGATTGTCGGTGTCCTGCCAAACATAGATCCAGCCCCCATGCCGAACCCGAAAACGTGCATGCCACAGGTTGAGATGGTTAAGATGGTACAGTTCGTGTACCGATTCATCCGGCCGGGCTCGGAAGGCGCGATTGAAGTAATTGACTTCCAACAGAACCGTGTCACCGTCTCGCAGACGTAGCTGTGCATCTGTGGGCATCTGTGGGTGTTGTAAGGCAGGGGGCAGGCTAAGGCGGTCGCCCGTCGCGCCTAGGAACCGGCGGCAGCACTCAAGAAGGGTGTGTAGTCGGCAGACCCTCGGGACCAGAACGGCCCTGATGGTATCCCCCGCCTGAACAACAACCGAGGCTAGTCCGCTGCCAGCTATCGGCAAAACCACACCGGGGCTCGTGATGCGACTCGGGCCTAGGACAACATGGCCCCTAACCCAAACACCACTACAGGACTCGACCATGGACTGCAGCGCAGAGTGTGGAGTGCTAGCGTCAGAATGCACGCAACGGCTCCATCCGCGGAACGGGCATAAGACATGGTAGTCCCACCGTTGGTCCGACACTACATCGGCAAGAGGATGTGGCATTTCTGGCCGCCACCGTCCCACCAGTGCGACAGTGCAGTCCTCGTCCGAGTCACTCTGGCGTTCATTGGATCTGGACCTCTCACGAGCTGCGCTGCAAGCCTGTAGGAAAGGAATCAAAAGAACCGTAGTCGGAGCTAGGCGGCTGCCTGTGCTGAGCCCTAGGAGGGAGGCAACAAACAGTAAGGAGACGTGGGTTCGACAACCGCTAGCATCCCAGGCAATCAGATCAGCCTCAGTGCCCGAGTGATCGAAAATAACATCTCCATCTCGGAGAGTCCACCGATCAGTAACGCGCTCCCTGGCGACACCAAGTGGCCCAAGCCTGGGGGCCTCCAGACCTCTGTCGGCACCAAACACGGCCGGAGAGACAATCCGACCGGTAGACTGGGCTAGCAATTCACCGCCACTCTCGACCAGAATATTAGCCGTATGCGAGGCGTCTGACGCTTGTATGAGATGGATCCATTGACTAGGACTCCACACAACCGGAACCCATGACCCCGCAAAGGAGCGCCGAAAGTCACCGTTGAAAGAGAGCACTGCCGGGTCCCAAACAGAGCCGGCTGGCACGGTGTATCGGATTGGTTGAGGGGCAGTCGGCAGCCAGAGGAGGATTTGGAGAGGGAAACTTAAATGTATCCGGCGTGTCCATAAGGTGCCATCCTTGAAAGCGACAGGACTATGAGGCCAAACTTCGCGTGCATCTTCTCGGCAAGCGAGAACATCAAGAACGTCACCTGTGCGAAGAAGCAGTGGGGCACGAGGCCGGACCAGCCGCGCGGCGTGGACTGCAGGTGGGAAGCGCACCTGAGAGACTTCCCAAGGTGTGTTGTATTGGACGGCTCTGCAGATCTGGTCATACTGCACGAGGGCAGGGACAATCAAGGACTTTTGAGCCCCCTGGATCCGAGCCACCACACATACGAGGCCTGCTGACTCGCTGATTGCCGGCACAAAGGTGAGCCTATCCATCCGGTCGCTCGGCCAGACAGGAAAAAGCCGAGGTATAGCTGGATCATCGGACAGATAGCGTTGTGCAAGCTCATCCAAAGTTAAGGCGCCAGCACCATGGAATACCCCTTGTGGACCGCACCATGGGCACAAGTACAGGGTGCGGCAGGCCCTGGTGCCGCTTATGTGGTCCATGGACTGGGAATGGCGAGGCAGCCGCCACGGGAAATGTCCTAGAGAGTATTCGACTCGACGAGGTTCGACGCTATGTTGGCAAGGTCCCCCTATAAGAGGCAACATAACAGCCCCGAGGAGAGGAAATCGGAGCCCCAAAAGGAAACTAAGCACCAACGGCATACACAGAGGGGCCGCTTTTGAATTGACGGGCTGGGGAGGCGGCGGCCCGAAAGGGCCCATGTCAGCATGTAGGCAATCGCCATCTCGCAGGTGGATGGGACGCTCCGGATCCCGACCAGTAGAGTACGGCGTGCGAATTCGCCCACGCTGTCCTCTGACCGAAACCTGGAGACCTCTGCCCCTGATGATCGAGCGTGGGAGACACCGAGGATAGAGTGCTTCTCCCGATCGTATCAAGACTGACACCTGGGAAGAATCAGCTGCTGCCGGGATGAGATGGATCGCCGCGGCGTCCGGTTGCGGTTGCACACTAACCAGAGGTTGCCAGCCCCGCCGTGCCGAGTAGTCTCGCAACATCTCTTCGAAGATAAAGCCCGTGCCAATGCAGGTCGTAAGCAATTCACAGCTGGCGCCCCGCGAGAATGGGTCGTGAATGGTGATGGGACACCCGTATGGGATGAAAGGGGAAGGGCGAGGACCTAGATTGACTCCTTGCATGTGAGCAGCAACGCGTCGCTGAATCACCGGGATAAGGGTGCGATCAAAGGGATCCGCTGGTGCGCTCAGGTCACCTTGTATCGGGACAGCGGTGCTTGCGCCGGCATCATCGCTGGCTCTGACTGTCATCGCCATGCCTTCGCCGTCGATGGTAGTGTCGGGCGTGGGCGGCAGCACGCCACTGTAGGAAGGGGAGCTAGGTGGCACAGGCTCGCTGGGTTCCGGTGCGTCCTCCTCGGCGGCATGTACTATGGTCCCAAGGAAGACCCCTAGACCGAAAAGCCTACCTCCGTGACCCCCAAGGACCGCGAGGAGGAGAGGCAGGGTGGAGATCGGCGTTGTGCCGGAGCGTGGTTGCTGCTCCGCCCAGTGGTCAACCTGAGCCCAGGCATCAGGAGTGCTGTTGGCAGCTCGCACGGCTGATGTAGGGCCTTCATTGCGGCCCTCGGGTGCTCGTGAGGCCTCATTGAAAACTCCTGCTTCTTCGAGCCTAGTTGTAAGGATGCTGAGCTGCCTGGTAACTGTATCAAGCTGAGCAGCAACAGCCGCGCTAACAGCCCTTGCAGTGCTTCTGGAATCCGGAGCGGATGCTGACGGGTCAGGAGGGGGTGCCGCAGTCCTTCTCGGCGGCTCGCGAACCTCCGGGGTTCTATCTCTGAGCGACCGATAGAGAATGGCCGGTTCCATCGATGGCCCGCGACATATATCATATTCAAACTGCGGCACCCAACAGGATTCTGGAGGAGAGTCCCATGTAGAGAATCCGGCGCTGCTAGGTTGAGACATCCGAACCAGCGAGATGATCGCCCCATGTGGGGGGACTGGGAGCTGTGTGCCGTACGGAAAGACCCGGCCGCAATGGTGAACCCCAAATGCTCCCTTAAGGAAGAAATCGCCCCCAAATGCATCAGCAGCTTGCTGTGCAATAGATGGAGTGAACCCTCAATCCCTAAACCCCTAAGCCGGAACCCTAAACCCTTCTAGACCCTATATCCCCTAAATCCTACACCCTCAGGCCCTAAACCCCTAAGCCGGAACCATAATCTAGGATTTTGAGGAGTTGATTCTGCTTCTTCACTTGGCAAGTTGTGATGGGAGCTTGGACGACGGGAGTTCATGTGAAGAGCCAACTGCTGAAGGCTGTGACCTTGTGCATGTACTGTCAGAGTCCACTTGGAGGGTCGGGGCACTTTGTAAGTAGGTAGTAAGTAGACGTATAAGTACCCTAAAAGGGACCCTAATTGGGGTTATGGTACTTATGAGTCCCTAAAATAACCAGTTACTAAGCCCCCCGGCCCTCCAAGCAGGGAGACTAACATAGGGCCTTGTTGAACTTGCCTAAACTGTCAAAGTCCAGGCTGAACGCTTAAATCCTAAACCCCAAACCCTGAAGCCAAACCCTAAGCCCTAAATCCCTAAACCCGAGCTGCCAAACCCTAACGGGGAGACCTTCAGGCAGTTAAAAGAGCGTTAAAAGAACGAAAACCTAACAACCCCACATAATTATATTATAGTATAATATAATATACCCCAAAACCCTGTTCTAATCATTAAGGCCCCTACATGGAACAACCCCACAGGTCTGCAGGATGCCGAGCAGAACCCTTCGGAGCACGCCCCAGAGCCGGCTTCCGAGCCAACTGAAGGCGATCCGTCTCGACTCGGTGAAGCTTAGGGGCCTTAATAATTATTAGAACAGGTTTCCTTTGAAGGGGTCTAAACCGGGTCTATAGTGGAGTTCTATAGAATAGGGGCTTAGGTAAGTGGACTAGAGTTTCGGGATGTACTATACAATGATTATAGCAGGGAGCCACCCAAAATGGCACTGGTAGTTATTTTGTCCCCTATGTCACAGGCTTTAGGGTTTGTAGAGTTTTGGTTTGATATTTCAGGGTTTCGGATTTGGGACATACCAGTCAGAAGGGCTTTAGTTTGGGGCTTTGGGTTTGCGGTTTCGGGTTCAGGCCGTAGCATGTCATTGAAACTTTAGACCCTACACCCCAAACCCCTAAACCCCTTAATCCCAAACCTCAAAAACCCTGTGACCTAAACCCTAAACCCGGACCCCAAAAAGGCCCTCAAAAAAACATCCCAAAACCTGCAGATCGTGGGAACTGAAGCGATCTGGCAGGTGGAGTGCAGCAGTCGGAGAGCCGCCCGTCGAACCCAGAGCTGCCTGTGTGGGAAGGTGAGGTCCTCAGATGGTACGTGGAGGGTCGGGGGACTTAGTAAGTAGGTAGTAACTAGGCTTATAAGTGCCCTAAAACGGACCCTAATCGGGGTTATGGTGCTTATAAGCCCATAAAATAATCAGTTACTAAGTCCCCCGACCCTCCAAGTATACATAAGGGTTTATTCAAGAGTCGCTCTTAGTGGTGTTCGAAGACTCAAGGTTACATACACAAGGGGTACTACGATAAGGGTCAGTGACTGGCAGGGCGTGCTGGGTTCAAAGATCTGAGTTTTGGGGAGGATTTGACATGATGACGACTCCCGTCATCGGTTGTCCACATTCGTGTGTGCTCACTTTTGTTAGGATGTGCTGTAGGGTTCATCCGGTTCAGGGCGGATAAATAGCAGACTCGAGAAGAATTTGTCAGCAAGTCGTAACTGTATTGACTGATTACCAAGTCCCCTAGACCCGATGCCCTAGGCGCTGCAGTAGCACCAAGCCCCCTAAACCTGAACCCTAAAGCACCAAGCCGCCTAAAGCCCGCAACCCTGAGCCCGCTTCTGATCTTGCCCTACCGAAGGCAATTACAAGATTCAGACGCCTCCCTCCGTTCGTATGCAGTTTTTGGGGCTTAGGGCTAGGATTTGGGGGGGTTGGGGTTTAGGGCTGAGGGGTATGGGTAGTTGTCGAAATTAAGGTCCCTTTTTGGGTACCCTAAATAGTAGGTGCCGTATTATAATATACGAACCCAGAAAGGAACCATGATTTTGACAACCACCCATATGAATCCTAGAGTTTCTTTAAAGGGATCTATAAGGGTGGCATTCCGGGGTTCCTTTATGGAAAATCCCCTAAACCCTAAACCCCACCCCCTACCCCCCTAAGGGCATATGGAAAATGCCAGGTGGCACAACTGATCTGGAGCGTTGCCGCTCGAACCCAGCGCCGACGGGATCTGAGTGTGGGAGCCCCGAGCTGCCCTTGTACAGGTAGAGTGTTCGTTGGGTGTGGGTTGACTCAGGGTTGACCAAGGGCCGCAAACCTCGAAACCTCGAAACCTCGAAACCAAAACCCAGATCACTTAAAGTTACCTATCAGGACTTAACCCCCCCCACGAATGACCAAGCCTGCCACGCGCCGAACTAGAATTCTCCTGCCGCTGGTTATCCAGATTGACAATAAACAGGAAGGAATGTGCAAGACACGCATTCGGCCGATTTTGCTTACCAATTGCAAACGGCGCCCCAACCATTGCCATTCTCGAATTAGCACCAGAAAGCACGCATGATAGAGGGCAACCTGATAATCAAAGCTCAACATCATACACAGTTTTACACACACGGACATGCAATGACATAACCTACAGTAGCTGCAACCCACGAACCACTAAACCTACTAGGAACCATTGTAGAACCCCTAAGAGACACCCCACACCATAATGAACTTACCGTTGGTTAGTAGGGACTGGAAGAATGGTCGTAATAGTAGTTGTAATTGTACCCCATTCCTCCATTCCCTGCTAACCAAACCCAACTGAATCAGCATCCCCTCTAAACCCTAAACCCTAAACAGTAAGTTCGATCGCGAGGCCTGACGGCAGCCGCGGTTGCAGCGGACATTCCGCCAGGTCACCAGTCCCTGGTTCAGCTTACTTAACGGGAACTCCAGAAAGTTGGAATATGGATTAATGGTAGGATCCCCTATAATTTACCTTAAAGGGTTTACGATAATGATATTCCAACTTTCTGGCTTTTACTTCAGGGCAGACCAGGGGTCCTTTAAGGGTTCCCCTGGAGGGTTTCCCTTTTTTGGGGGGTTCTACGAGGGTTTAGGAGTTTGAGGCCCAGGGGGGCTCGGAGTTAAGGGAGCCTAGGAGTTTCTTGTTTTGGGCTCAGGGGGCTTAGAGCTGAGAGCTGTTGGGGTTTAGGTAAGGCATGCGCGTGTGGGTCCGTCGGAAATTTAGCTGGGAGGTTGGCGGCCGCGGCCTGCGTTTCTCGTGCCTTCTGGTGTTCTGCAAGTTTTCGGTTGGTGATGTATGCTGGGTTTAAGGTTTAAGCCCGGGTTAGGCTGTAGGGTTTAAAGTTAAAGTGTATCAGAGAGAGGGAGAGAGAGAGAGAGAGAGAGAGAGAGAGAGAGAGAGGCAGGGCCAAATCAGCTTCGGGTGCTGTACCCATGCGTAAACCCAAACCGTCTCGAAGGACGTCCCAACATCTGTAATCCGGCAAAAGTATGCTTGGATGCACACGCTAGTTTTTGTGGTGCTCCTTGTGATGGGGATCCCCATGCGCAGGAGATTCAGAAGTTTGGATATCTCGGAGCTCCTCAACAGTGGCATCCTAATCAAAATGACCCCGTTACATCACCGGGCCGAAAGTTTCGACCCAAATGTCCATCATCTTACATAAAGGCTCTTGCGGAGTAGCAGAGTACCTTGAAGTGTCGCTTACCCTACGCAGGCTAGCGGAGTAAATTCTACCCCGTTTTAACATTCTAATACTTTTTAGTTCCGGAAGAGGCCTCAACCCTGACTTGTGTTAGGAGTCTATGGGGAAGAGGGTGGAGGGTTATGTGTTGCAACATGTTCAAACTAGTGGGTCGAACTATCGGCCCGGCTCAGTATGAAACACCCATGTGCAGCTCTGAAAGACGGAATTCCTAGCTTTTCATTGAAACCCTGTTGCACGACCTGTAAACAAGAGGTACCTCAGTTGAAGATGCCCCGTCGTTGGATTACGAGTGCTGCTCCCCAAACCTATACCCAAAGCCCCTCAACCCTAAATGCCTAAACCCATAAACCCAGAACCCCTAATTTCCTTCCCCCAAACCGCTAAACCCAAAATCGCGACCTAAATTCTCAAACCCCTACTCGGAGGTTCATGAATAGTTATCAGTAAGGTTATGAGTCCCTAATATGTTATCTGGGTTATGGTTATAGTTACCTGACTCATAACCCCACTTATAACTACCCATGAACCTCCAAGTATAGGACCCTCGGCGAGCTCAGGGAGCACTTGGGGACCATTTCGCAACAGGCTCCCGTCCGCTGACAGACCGGGTCCTTCAAGGATTGTACGGGGCCCATTATACTTTCAGTATAATAAGGAACCCCCAAAACAGTATAGGCAACTATTTAGGACCCTATATCAGGGGCTCCATAAGGGTTCCGATGAGAGGCCCACTGGAATGGATTTCGTGCTTTTGGGTTGAGGTGTTTTGGGGTTTGGGGCTGAGGGCTTCAGGCTTAAGGGTAGAAGTTTGGCGAGCAGGATAATCCAATTTCAGAACGCTTTAGCTCTTTAGTTGAATGCTGGCCATCACAGGTATCTAGCACAGCGCAGACATGCGCAGTCGTTCAATGCCGAGTTGAGCAGGATGAGACGTCAGTCCCTTTCCACGCACTGCCTTGTCTCGAACTTGCTCGAATGCCCGGGTCGTGATACTTTGGTGAGGGATGTGAAGGATTATCATGCGGTCCATTTGATGCATCTGTAAGTCCGTGGATGTCAAAAGGCTGGAAAGAGCAGTGTGATCTTCATGTATGCAGACCTGCACATGCGCGGACAACACGCATCGCGTGGAGCAGTAGTGGCGGCAGTGACCCCACAGCAATGGCATGGGACATAGAAGTAGCAACAGTTGAAAGCTACAGAAAGACTTGCAATAACGCCAGTACTGGCTACTATAGCAAGAAGAGCAGTACACATAGCAACAAGTCCGGTCTAAGTCCGTGACACTTGTCTTAGTCTTCGTAGCTCTACCAACGTATCAGCTTATTTGGTACAAGTAGCAACGAAAGTCTGAATGTGAAGCCCGCATCACGACGGAAATTGAGTCTTCAGAAGATGGCCAGCAGCTGGAACTGCCACAATACGTAATTATCAACAGCCTGCGCAAGCTAAGAAAAATAGAAGCCAGTAGAGGTAGCCGTCATCCGGCTTTGCGTATCTGGGCATCCCGGGGTCGAGCGAAAAGTCTTCAGTCAAACTTTGTTGACTATCGATGAAGAAGAAGGCAGCCAAACTTTTTTAACATAATTAGAGAGAGGTAGATAACAAGAGTGCCAGAATCAGGATGATATGGGAGTTTCCGAGAATAAGGGGTATCTTATTTTGGGGTACTTATAATAGGGATCCTACTATTTAGGGTACTACGTGAGGGTCCCTGATTTTCGGAAACTCCCATATTACTGCTTGCAAGGACGGCTAAGCCTAAGCAAGCTGGAGGATGGTGCTGCCCTCTATACTGGACAGCGTACAGTAGAAGCCAGAAAGTTGGAACATGGCTTCAGGAGGATTAGTGTTAGGATCCCTTATACTACCTTAAGGGCATGAGGATTATGATGTTCCAACTTTCTGGCTTCTACTGTATACAGCGCGCCATCATCACCCAATTGCTCACACTGTCTTCTTATTTCGCTCCATCGCTGTACCTGGTTGTTTGAGGTCGATCCTGACACCCTAAGGCCTAAACCTTAAACCCTAAACCCTCAACCTTAAACCCTAAACCCTAAACCCTCAACCTTAAACCCTAAACCCTAAACCCTCAACCTTAAACCCTAAACCCTAAACCCTCAACCTTAAACCCTAAGCCCTAAATTGAACATTCCGTTGAGTCCTGAGGCCTTCGCTTGTTTGAGTTAATTTGCAAAGTAGTGCTTGCAAGAGTACTCTCCAGAGGCGATCACAGACCCTGAGGTCATGTAGGGGTCTCAATGATTACCTATACCATTTGGGGAGTTCCTTGTTATAATTATAGTATAATGGGCTTTAATGGGCCCCAAAACCCCATTCTAATTCTTCAGGGCCCTGTATTATGGTATCAGGTAGCCCTCACCCCTGCAGAAACTCCGGAGACTAGGGCGCCGTATGATGTTCGGGGATGACAAGATTTCAGGCCGTGCTTGTGGATTTAAGGAGTACAGGGCATGCTGTACAGTTTCGATTACAGTTACAGGGTACGGGAATTAGGGATAGAGGGTCGGAGCACCATCGGCAGCCACAGAGAACCCGTCTAGAAAACCTGGCACTTATGGAAGAACGCTTAAGCCCTTAACCCTAAACTCGCTCAAGAGCCCCTTTTAATATAGGGGCCGTAGCAATTACCTGTGTTATTTTGGTGTTTCCGTTTTATATTTATAGTATCGCCTGCTCCAAAACTCTGTTCTAAACTATGAAGGCCCCTACATTATAGTACCCATATAGAGCCCTTTCAAGGAACCCTTCTAGACCCTTTTAAAGGAACCCCCATTTCAGAGGCCCCTTTGACTCGAAAGCCTTCTGGCAGGCGCAGTCCGCGGTCTGCCACTTCTGAAGAGTTTTACTCTCCAGAAAGGTCCACGACGAGCTCGTGTACTGTGGAGTGAGTGTGTTTTAGGACTTTAGACTTGGGTTTAGGGGTTTATAGGGTTTAGGGTTCAGTTCAGTTCAATGTGCAAGACTGTAGGAAATAGAAGGTTTGGGACAAGTCGTTGAGGATGAATGCAGGCAGCTTACTGTCAGTCCTGAAAGGTCGTTGCCCCAATGATTCGGACCCTAAACTAGAAAAAATTACTTTTCCTTCTGAGAATTGTTGGGGTGAGTGATGTACTCCGAAGTGTGCGGAGGTACCGGGGCCACAGTACTTAGGCCCCTCGACGGAAATGTTTAGCGGGAAAGGCCGCTCCCTTAATCTGATCTTCGCTCGATTATGCTGCGCTGTATGGGCACTTTCTGCTTTCCTGCCCTTCCGCAGATGCTCCACAGCAGCCTCTCATGGAAGAAAGCCTCTTGAGAAGACAACCTTGGTAGGATATGACTTCATCCATGAAAGGGCTAATGGGGCAACCAGAAGCTGTGCGAAGCACAATTCGGTGTTTTTTATGTCGTGAGATGGCGGACTGCCTGCTACATTTAGGGCTCATGCCTCTCCTCTGAAAATGCCCCGGCAGAGACCTGCCATATCTAATTCATGCGCACGGCGGCGCAGTTGCAGTTGCTAGGCAATCAGCCTCCAGGCAAAGTGGAGCAACCAGGCCCGTGTGCACAAGAAGCTTATCATGTAAATTGCTCTGATTACTGAGTTCCGTGATGTCAACTATGATTGTGATGATGACGGTCATCCTACTTCTCTATCATGAACCCACTGTCATTCTGGTGCGGCCTACTTGGGGGTTCCTTATTATAACCATGGTATAGTGGGACCCAAAACCCTATTTTAAATATCAAGGCCCCTATAGTAAACCCTAAACCGAAACAAGCACAAGCATGTTCGGACGAGACAATTCTGGGTCGTTTTGTGTTTATGCGATGCGGATTCGAAGCCGAGATCAGCTACTTGCCTATTTAGGGTTTGGGGTTGGGGTTTCAAAATTTAGGCTTTAGGGGTTTAGGGGTTTAGGATATCGTCATAAATGCAGTTGACAGCAAGAAGAACCAGAATACCTAGACCTAGAGTATCAAACCGAACAGGTGACGAACTGGCAACAGCGACGGGGCGTTATTGAATAGCACTTCGACTATACAGCCAAGCGTATGAGCAATATCAGCGTTGCCAGTACTAGCGATATTGAATCATATTCTACCATCCTTCATTGTACTCTATGGTGTTAAAGTATAATGTACTGTACAATACTTGTTGAAGTTTGAAGACTCTATTCTACCATTGCTCCTCCGACCGTCGGCCGACTGACCGAGCCGCTGCCGAGCCATCGCCCGCATGGTGCCCAATGATCGAATTCTCGCTTGACCTGCAGGAAAGAAGACGCAACCCTGAAGACTATACTAACATGTATAATGCTGCTGTCACTGCCATCATGTCAGTATAACTCGGATATGACGTTGATGTTCTTTGCTGTCGTTGTCATTAGTGGTAGTATGATGGCGGAGTGTGATGTAGTGGTAGCTGCAGTAGAATGCGAGTGGTCGTCGTCCTGGCTTGCAAGACAGTCAGTCTTGGGTCGGCTGCGCTGTTGTTTGAATACCCTCATACCCGAAGCAACTCTTCCTGGTCCTCCTCCGAACGTATGGTAGCAATGATGACGATGATTGCATCAGGCAACACCAACAATGATATTGAAGAAACAGAATGTATCACGTACTCGCAACCATGCAGCACCAAGTTGGACACGTGCTTTGGAGTAGCTTCTGAAGAAACAGTCCGGGATGCTGCGCCATGCAGAGCTGGGGTGGCGGAGACGACATCGAGCTTGTGCAGAGCTACCGGCCCCATGAAGCCCGGCTCGGGGTTTGAGTGTTAGGTTTAAGGCCAAGGGTTTTGGTTCCTTTCAGAGTTCCTTTGAGGGATCTACATGGGCCCCAAAGTCCTTAGCCCTCATAGAAACCTCGTGAAACCCTGGAAGAATTCATGTGGACCCTCAAAAAACCTTGAAACCCTGCTATGAAAACCCTCAGTCAAACCCCAAACCCTAGCCGTAAGTCCAAGGACACTGGGATCGCGCGCATCGCCGTGGAGCGGTGCCATCGTCGGTTCGCAGCGGACCAAGGAGGGCGGATAGGGTCTAGGAGTCTAGGGTTTAGGTGTTTTGGAAGGGATGGGGTTTAGGGGTTTAGGGTTTAGAGGTTCAGAGTTTACGATGTTTACGTGTTTAGGGTTTAAGGGTTTCCGATTTAGTGTTTGGGGTTTTAGAAGGGTCCACGAGGACAAGGGCTGGATAAAGTATTTAGACAGGTACAGAAAGGTGTTAAATACAAGAGATCTACAAGGGCTCTGGCAGTGTCTATACGTAAGGATTCCATGAGGGTTGCACACGCGTTCTGCCAGATTTCTATACAGCTTCTATAAAGGCTTCTACAAGGGCTGTGCAAGGGTTCTAGAACGGTTCTCTAAAATTCCACAAGGGTGTTTAGGGCTCGGGGGCTTCAATGGGGTGTTTTTGTTTCACAGTGTTTACAATTCTACAAAGGCCCTGACGGGGATGACGAGGGTTCCAGCACGGTTTGATGGTTTAGCTTTCAAGCTTCGGGTTCGGAGCCCTCCTGTTTTAGGGCTCACCGCTTCTTAAACACCCGAAACCCTAAACCCCCTAAGCCCCTATACCTCAACACCCTAAAGCTCTAAATCTTACACCTTGAATCTAAGCCCGAAGCCCCACAACCCGAACTTAACCCTTTGGGTTTGCAGTTCAAGCCTTAATCTAAAGATCAAGGCCCCTATGCTACGCCCTTATAGTACCCCTTAAAGGAAGGAAGCCTTTACAGGAACCTTAAACCCCTACATCGTAAACCCTCTATTAAATCCTAAAACCCTAAGCCCTAAATCCTGAACCTTAAACCCTAATCAAAGAACCCTAAACCCTTAAACCCTGAACCCTAAACCTTTAAACCCTAAACCCTAAACCCCTAAACCCGAAACCCCTAAACCCTAAACCCATTACAGTCGGGATTTCAAGGTCCTCAGCGCCTCGGCTGACGGCGCCCTGGCGCTGAGCGATCTCCGAAACCTGGGGGAAGGGCCCAAAGCCCGGGCGCCGAGCTCCAAGGCCGATATTGGGGGTTGGGGTTTGAGGGGGTTTGGGGGTTTAGGGTTTAGGGTTTTAGGGGTTTAGAGGGTTTAGGATTTAGGGTCAAGGGTTGGGGGTTGGGGTTTAGGGGCATTTAGGGTTTTTTGGGTGTTTTAGCGTGCCGAGCTCCAAGGCCGATATTGGGGATTGCAGGTTTAGGGAGTTTGGGGGTTTAGGGTTTCAGGATTTTAGGGGTTCAGGGGGTTTGGGGGTTTAGGGCTTCAGTAATTTAGGGGTTTAGGATTTAGGGTAGCCATAGTTGTCATAATAGGTCTACAGTAAGTTGAGATGGTATCCTCATTATGGTAACTTACCTTCAAAAAATAGGGGGGTCTACAGTAAATGGCACGGTTTCCTCATTGTGGTAGCTTACCTGACATTCTCTAGCAAGATTCCAGTCTGTCAGGGCTTGTAGTTCAACAGCCGGCTGCTAGACCTACCGGGCTGATGGGCTGAGGTTTAAAGGTTAAGGGCTTTAGAGTTCAGGGTTCAGTAGTTTAGGGTTTAATTTTTTGGGGCTTTGGGATTTAGGGTTTCAGGGGTCTTAGGGTGTTCCGGGCTTGCAGGCATTGCAGTTGACGGAGTTTAGTTTGTAGAGTTGGGGAGTTTAAAAAGCTTTTCGGCGCGGGAGTCGTGGTGCAAGCTCTATGTGTTCAATTCAGGTTGGACTGCACTTGGCTTCGCGATGGTCGAAGTTCATGTTGGGTTCACCTGATTACGCCGAGGCCGCGTTACGGTTGGATGGGTTCGTTTTCCTTTGCGGTACTGCGGTTTAGGGTCTAGAGAATCGTTGCAGAAGAGAAGGTGCAGGATCTGTTCACAGACACATCGGAGTTCCCCCCTGCTGTTCAATTTCTGCGTGGTGCTCGCAGATCTTTCTGAGTACCTGTTGGCAGTAACTGGCCTTCCCAACACACTCCAGTCTTATCTGAAGTGGAAGCCGGGCATGTGCTTAATGCCCTAGTATAAACCCTAAACATCCCTAAACCCTAAGCATGTCCGGAAGCTCCATGAAGACCCACAGCAGGAGGACGAGGAGGGCGGCAGAGCGTCCGAAGCGGCGCAAACGGAGGCTTCACGGTTTAGGGGTCGAAACCCTAACAAGCCTTCAATCCCACAGTAAACCCCATAAAGTTGGAAACCGGATTAAGGCCAAATAGTGCTGGGATTCCCTATACATTACTCTTAAGGATTGAGGCTCTGGGTTTTCCAACTTTTTGGCTTGTACTGTAAAGCTCTTCGGCTCGAAAGCCCTGGATCTTTCTGGAAGAGACGTCTCCTCAGGTTGGTTCTAAGCAGGGTCCCGTTTAGGCGTCTGCGTGACAAGGAACCACAAAGCCGCAGGAATGCATTTGAACCAGTCGCAGTAAATTGTTAAAATTTAGAGTTTAGGGTTTGGTGTTCTAGGGTTTAGGGGCAAATGAGTGCGTGAGACTCTGAACCCTTTTGCAACAACATGGACCCCCTCTCGACCGGCACCTGTTTCTCAGCTTTCCCTTCCGTGGCTTGCTTAGGCAATATGTGGCCTCAAGGGGGTAAGTCTTTCAGTTGGACTCAAGGGGTAAGTTGGGTGTAGGGTGCATCTGACGGGAAGTGTATCAGCTTGAGCTTCAAGAAAGGGACAGTATGGTGAAGCGATGCGGATGGCTTATCCGTTGACGTGGCAATGACCTTGAACCGAAGACCAGCAGCGAACCGCCCGGCGATAGTTTAGTCGGTCCGCTCATCGACATCAGCCTTAAGCCAAATCACAGCTACTTGCTGCGGGGTTTCGCTGCCTTTTTGCAGCGGAATAGTATATAAGGGTTACGATACGGAAGGGGATTTAGTTTGTTTTTGTATTTGTGCTTTCAATAACTAGCAGT